GAGGTCATTTACCTGATAACTGTCTGTGTCACTGAAACGGCATCAGAACTCAGGTTGGGCCGGCCAAATAGCTCAGCAGATTAAAGTGCCTGCAAGCAGGCGCAGGGGCCAGGTGTCAATCCCCAGGCCTGCCGAGCTGGCCCCACCCTTGGGGTGCGATGAGACAGCAATTGAGACTGGGTGTGGTGGTGCACCTGTAATCCCAGCTCTTGGGAGGCTGTAAACAGGAGGATCACTACGAGTCTGATCTAGTAGTGAGACCCTGAACACCCTGTAGACCCTTCCCTAGAACACAAAAAGGGGGGCAAAAAAAAAGAACTCAGATGTCTATCACCCTTTTACAAGGCCAAGAACATTCGCTCCTCCACTCAGGATTATTTAGTGATTTTTTTCACAATGATACTGCAGGAGGGAGTGAACGCTTGTCTGTCAAATCTGCCACAGACCGCGTCTACTGCAGTAGGTGCAACTGGAGGTGAAAGGGAAGAGTAGCTGCGGCCCGGAAAGAAAGGTCTCATGCGACCGACCGACCGCGGGAGAGCCCAGCCCAGGCCACAGAGAGGCCACGCAGTCCCCTCCGAGGACTCAGGGCTGAGGCCCGGGAGGGAGGTGAGGCCTCGGGCCTCCTCCGGGGCCTGAGGGCATTTCTGAAGTAGGGAAAGGGAAAGTCCAAGAACAGGAAATCCTGTTCCCCAGGTCTTGCTTTCTTATCTGGAAAAGTATGAAAGAATACTGTAAACAAATTTGGGAAACAGTTTCCCAGGAAGGGAATGCAAAAACCATGGCTGGAATTCACTTCCTGGGGGCTAAAATTTCACCTTCTTTCTGTGAAAGATAAGAACTCGGAAGCATCTTCCCCTCCTCCCTGAGGCCCTGCGTCACCGTCTGGGGGTGAATGCCCTCCGGTGGGCAAGTGGGAGGGGTTCTGTGCGGCCAGGGTGCTTCTGTCTCCACCGCGGCAGGGCCCCCACGAGTGGACGTGAGCTCGCGCAGCTGCGGGGCTCGAGATGAGGGGCGTGTTTCGCTGTATTTTCCAATTCCTTTTTCCATTTGAGCCCCTCTGACCTGTGATTCCACTGAGCCTCTTTTAAGAAGTGCTTCAGTCAGTGACTGATGCTGCCTTCGCATACTGAGAAGGCCGTCGCCAAGGAAGCAGCGGTGGTGGGGTGGTGGGGGGCTTTTGGCACTTGGCACTCGATTGCGGAGGGTGCTGCGGCTCTGCGGCCTTAGGCGGCATGTTTGCAAGGAGCGAAGATGACAAGGAGGTGAATGACTTCGGATGTGGACTCATTCATCTTCAGAGATGTGCTCACTGCTATCTCTGTTTGCAGATAGGGAAACTGAGGCATAAGGCGAGGAAAAACCTCAACGCTACAGGGTGAGTAATGGTAGAAACTATTGGCCCAGCGCAGCTGGCTCCACTGCTCTAGCAGGTATTGTCAATACCCTAGACAGCTTGGAACAATCACCTCATTTCTCTGCACTTAGTTTAGCTCATAACAGAACTGGGACAATGTCTATTGTAACTTCCTCCCCAAGTTATTGGGGGGTTTCAAGAAGAGGGAAAACTGTAACAGCGCCGTGAAAACTTCAGCATGGTTATTCAAACCTCCAGCTAGATCCACGTGGCTTCCCTTCGGAAAGGCTGGGAGCTGCGAGCCATAATCCACCTCCCCCCCCCACTGCCCTGGGCTCCCTTGCGGTCACCCTGCTGCCTGCCAGCTCCTGGGGTGGAGAGGTTTGTATGAAAATAAAGCTAATAGGTGTGAGTAATTGGCCTTGAAAACCACAGGCACAGATAGGAGACAGCTGAAGGTTGCTGTGAAAGCGCGATATTTTAAATGCAGCGCTTAGTTCAGTGACGCAGTTCATCCCGCAAGCTGTGGAGCTGCTGCTGCATTGAGTTTTAGGATCCAGGATCCAGGAAGGATCTTCTTTCTTCAACCACAAAGGAGTGTGTGTGTGTGTGTGTGTGAGAGAGAGAGAGAGAGAGAGAGAGAGAGAGAGAGAGAGAGAGAGAGAAAGAGAGAGAGGCCAACTATTCAATGATTCTTGGATTTAGTCTCTAAATCTCTGTAGCAGATCTACTTCTGGGTAGCCATGGAGACAAATGACACCCTCGTGTTGCTCCTAAGCAGTTCCTGGGTAGTAGGCAGTAAGCAGCCAGGGGGAAGGTGCACAGGGGATGCGGGAAAGAGCCCCGGGCAGTGGCGGGTGATTCACAGAGCCTGAGGCTGGACCCCGGGTGAGTGGCAGGAAGCCTCCACCCAGAAGGAGGAGTAGAAATTTGCCAGACGTGATCTGGCAGAAGGACACGGCAGGTGGAGGGAGGTGGACCCCAGACAGGGCGAGAGGGGTGCAGCTGGTGTGTCAAGCGATGGCACCGAGGGTGGGGCCAGGTGGGGCATGACCTTGAATGCCATTCGGAGGGCAGTTGGGCCTTCTCTTGGTCGCAGAAGCTGCTGCCGCGTCTCAGTAACAGGGAAGGCATGAGAGCCACATTGGTCTGGCAGGAACACTTGCTTAATACATTAACTGTCTTTACCGAGCGCCTGGGATGTTTTGTCCTCTTCTCAGATGTGGGTCCATAGCGCAAGCTGCTGCCTCCCCCGAGGTGACAGAGGCATGGGCAGACAGTGGCAGACTGTTTATGTGATGGGTGGAGTCTGGCAGAGAAGTTGAGGGTCTCAGAGAAGCTACTTAACTCACCCTTGGAAGATACAGTGCTTTTCTTCGAAGCATCTAGCTTGATGCCAGGTTCACACGGTCTAGGCCATGTGAGGAGAGAAGAGAGCTGCGGGGAAGCGGATAGCATCCTCTGACATTAGTGGGGATGTGAACTGTGCTTGCGGGGGGCGGGTGCGGGCTGGGTCTATCATGGCCTGGTGTCATCCCCTTGCCTGGGGTGTGCCTGAACCTTCTCATTCGGTTCTAACTGTGGATTACAGCCAAAGGATGTGACTTCGCGGCTGAGGTCAGACTGCAAAGGCACTGGCAAACACTCGTCACTCTCTTCTTTCTTTGCCTCTGTCCCACTCATCTTCTGGCCTTGGTAGACACCAGCTGTCACCCTGTAACACGCTCAGCATGGGAAGGACCTGAGGGGCTGCTGCGGCCGAGCACCCTGCAGGGCAGGACGGAGCCCTGCAGTCCAGTAGCCAAGGAAGCGAACTCAGGGCGGGCCACAGCCCTGTGCACACCATGACCCCGGCTTGTAGAGACACCAGGCGAAGTTAAAGCTGGTCTGCCTTGGTCACACAGACTGGGGAGGCAAACGTCTGCTCTTCAAAGCGAAGCGTTATGTGGCAATGGATACTACTGCGGAGGTGAGGGAGAGGACCTTGGAAGGCAGGTGAGCATTCTGGGTGTCCTCCAGGCTCCCAAGAGCAGGGGCAGAGAGACCGAGACCTTCCCCTTCAAGGCTGCACCCCTTATCTCCTTGCACTCAGCCCCCCCCAGGTGCCACCCCTAGGTACCAGCCAGGATGCGCACTCTCAGCACGTGGGTGGGGGGCTACTGGGCAGCACGGCATGTGGGGGATAGCACCCCGCAGGCCGGCCGACTGCGCTCTGCCTAAGCAGGCGCTGTAGTTTGCTGAGCTATCTGGCCAGCCCATTGCAAACGGTTCTTGTCTATAAAGATGCCAATGCATTTTGTCTGGCGTAAGTGCAACTGATATTTTGTTTGTGTATTTTTATTATTATTATTTTCTGTATTTAGGACAGGGTCTACAGGGTCTCACTACCTAGATTGGACCCGAGGTGAGTCTCCTGTTTTCAGCCTCCCAAGTGCTGGGATTACAGGTGCTTCCCCCTATGCTCAGTCTCAATCGCCATCTCAGCGCGCCCCACCAGCAGGGCCGGCACGGCGTGCCGGGGTGTGCATTTGTTTTGAGACAGGGTCTGGATGTGTAGTCCAGGCTGGCCTGGAGCTCACTGTGCAGCCGGAACTTGCGGCGATCCTCCTGCTTCAGCCCCCTGAGCACTGGGATGACAGGCGTGCACCACCTTGCTCGGCTTCCAACATCAGCTTTGCACCGATGACCTATTCATCTCACCATTTCAGCTGCCTACCTGACTATCTGCCCTGTTCTTCCCTGGACAAGCTTAAATCCTTACTGCTTTCCTTATTGTTAATTAGCTCAGAGATAAAATCTGTGGTGTGGGTTCTCCTTGTATCTGCACAATGGCCATGGTTTTATCATTTGGAGAGAAATTAAGTTATCCTGGGGCCACTGGATGTGTGAGAGGCCACTTCTTGGTTTGGCACGAGAAGGATTCCTTACTGCTGGTGCTGTTCACCGGTAAGGAGTCGCTTATGCGGTCTCTGACTCAGTTCTGGCGCAGGGAGAAAGCGTGCCCCCGCGTCACGGATCCGCTCGCGCTTCCCTCCCAGGCCACCAGAGGCCGCAGAGCCCTCGCCACCCAGCGACGCGCGTCGGCTTCAGGAGAGGCCACCGCGAAGAAGGCGAAGTTCTGCGGGCAGGGGACAGATCCGCTGGGTCTATCGCTGTCACAAGACACACGGAGAAGGGCGAGAGGTGGTGGTGGCGGCGGCGGCGGCGGCGGCGGCGGCGGCGGCGGCGGCATAGGAGGGCCTGGACCCCGGGCGCCGTGGCCTCGAGTCCCTCCCGACCGCGCCCTCCGGCTTCCTCTGAGCCCCCCGCCCCTGACGAGAGTTGGAGCCCGGCGCGGGCGGGGAGTGGATTCGAGGCCGGCCCGCATCACCGCCCCACGGCTGCTACGTCATCGCCTGAGTTTTCCTCTCGGGGTTTGGAACCCGGGCCTTTGCGCTGAGTGGCCACGGTGCCGGGGCTGGGCTCGAACCCGAGACTTTCCTGCCTCGGGCTCCCGGAGCGCACGGCCAGGGCAGGCTCAGAGTCTCGGCGCCCCCAGGGTGCTCGCGGACCGGGGGCGGGGCGGAGGGCGCGGGCCCTTTAAGGCGGCGCAGGCCGGGCGCAGGTGTGGGGCGGGCCGAGCGGATTTGGGGCGCGGCGTCGGCGCCGGGCCTGGGACTCCTGCTGCGGCGGCCGCGCTCCGGGGCCGCGCTCCGCCCGCGCCAGCATGAAGGACCGGCTGGAGCAGCTGAAGGCGGTGAGTGCGCCGCGCGCTCGCGCCGTGCCCCCCGCCCCGCTCCCTGCTGCGGTCCCCGCGGCTCCCACCCCCGGCCCGGGCCGCGGCTCCTCCGACCTGGACTCGGACCCGGCGGGCCGAGGGACACCGGGGCGCGGGGAAGCCGAGTCGGCGCCCACGGACTCGCGGAGTCCACACGGAGCGCGTTCCCGGGCGGGCGGAGGTGAGCCGGGCCCCGGCGACGCCGCAGCGCCGTGTCCGCGGGCCGGGGGGCTCCGGGGCCGCTGCCCACGGCCGTCGCTGGCGCTCCAAGCCGGAGTTCTGGTTGCGCGCCGTGAACACTGCGAGGCAGCGCGGAGAGCCCGGCGCGGTCCCGGGACTTAGGAAAGGGTCTGTGAATGTGGCCGCCAGGTGCTCTGGGAAGAGGCGCCGCCGCTTCCTTTCTCCTCCCTGGCCTGGGGGAGCCCTTGGTGCCCCCTCTGTGCTCTAGGTGGGCTGTGGGGGCGGGGAGGCTGCTCTCTGTGGGGTGCGCCTGCGTGGGGTGCTGGGGCTTCGTCATCAGAGCCCCAGGGCGGCGCGTTACCGAAAGGGCAGAATTTATGGCCTCTGTTTTATAGCTGAGAAACAGGAGCTGGCTCCCGTATGGCGATGCCCGATCGCGGGGCAAGGCCCAGCACCCCGGGGCGCACCCCAGCCTGGCCTCACCGCTGACGTTTGCCTTGGGAGGGGCCGGGGGCAGCGGGAAGGAAACGGGGAGGCTCCCAGGACTGCTGTGTCGGCCCCCGGCAATCAGGAACCAGCACGGGGCAGACCTGCGGCCGGCCCCGCCTGTCTGCGGAAATGGATTTCCAAGGAGGACCTGGCCCTTCCAGGTCGTTGGCGACGTCGCAGAGAGGCTCACCTGGGCTTGGGGGCCGAGGGTGGATGCTGGTCACCATGGGGCCCCAGCTGTCCCTGCATCCCGGTGCCTCAGGGTCCTCCCTGGAAAACAGCTCAGGACTGCTTCCTTCTCTTACCGGCGGGGCCTGCACTGTCACGCGCAGCACTGTCCCCATCACAGGCCTTGCACAGTGAGGAGCAGGGAGACGCCCCCGGCAGGCAGGCGACCGGACTGCACGCGTCTCCGGGTGTCCTTTCTGCAATGAGGGCCTTGGTTGATATTAGAAGCCCTTTCTGGTGTTATTAATGGTTTCTGGAAAGGAAGTGACCGTCTCAGCAACAAGAAATGCCATCTTCCGTAGCAATTCCTCTTATCAGAGCGCAGCATTTATTAACCTGCGTGAAACTAACTTCATGTTGAACAACCATGTAAAGCCAGGGGGAGGGAGGCGATGCGATGAGTGTCGCCAGACACGGGAGGACGAGGTGCATGTGGCAGTGGCTGTAGGTAGAAGGAGGAGGTGTGTGTGTGGGGTGGTGGTGGTAGTGGTGGGGGGTAGTCAGTGGTCAGAGCTGGGGGAGGGGGTTGGCCAGGACGGTGGTGAGCTGTCCGCGTAGGAGGCAGGCAAGCACTTGCCTGGCGGTGAGCTGGTGGGAATTTTAGCCTCTGGTTGAGGGAGGGGAGAGACAGCAGGCCTGCGTGAGCCCTAAGGACGTTGGCTTCTCCAAGTGCTTCACTAGGGTGCGTGGAGCTCAGCGGCTGCACATGCTGTGGCGCATACTTGCTGAGGTCCGGGTTCCCTCAGTTGACTGCCTGTCCTGGGGTCCCCCGGCTGGGGTCCCCCGGCTTCTCCGTGGCTAGGAGAGGATGCGAGGAAGGCACAGGCCGCCCGGCCTCTGTCCAGCCCAGCTTCCACGTGGTGCACTTCCTCCTGCCCCCTTCACTCTCAGGCTAGCCCTGAGTGCTGCGTGGGTCCAGGCTCTGCAGTAGGTCTTGAGGTCTGGGACTTGCACCTGTTCCCTGGGAATTCAGGGTCTGGTAGGACACAGGAAGAACCAGGCAGGTGACAAGCGGCCACAGGAGGAGCACAGGGTGCGTTACCAGAAGTTGGGACCTCACCCTGCACCTAGGTGGAGAGGCTCCTGCATTTTCTCAGCCACCCTTCCACTGCTGAGGAAGTGATGCCCATAGAGGCATGTGCGTGCGCTGGTACTTGAGGCCGGAGGTCAGTGTGCTCTGACCTCTTGGTGCCCTGCCGATGCTGGCGGGGTTAGTATATAAAGTCCTGGACTTCAGAGTCAGAGAGAGAGCAGGAGTATAGCTCAGCAGCACCGGCATCTGTCTGGCAAGTACAAGGTCCTGAGTTTGACCCCCAGTTGTAGAAAGATTAAATGGCTGGCTGCATGGGGATAATAGGTACATTTTATGAAAAGAGAACAATAAGCACAGCAAAAGCTCAGTGATAGGTGATGACAGTGGAGAAGCCAGTGGTGCATGGATCAGGGTCGGAGACTTCGGACATCTTGGGAACTGATCTATGGAGGACTGGAAGAGACTCGGGTGGTTTGGATCCTCTAGAACCAGCACGAGTAGGGACACACTGACAGCTGCCAGGGCTCTGAAGGCTGTCGTGGGGTCAGAGGTCCTCAGCACAGCGATGCGGAGGCCCTATCCCGAGGGGAGTCCTACCGCCCCTTCCAGCTCAGCGCAGTCCATCGTGTTCACCCTGTCAGGTGCTTTGGGTCCTAACCCGGACTCAAGGTTCTTATTTAAAGGTTCCACCCTGAAGTAAGGCTTCTCCTTAGCCAGGGCTCCTTCCTCTCCTCCTCCCTGCACTTGGGTCCCACGTAGCTGCTTTGCTGTGGCAGACAAGAGCAGGGCTGAGGCGGGAGTGGTGGGGATTGAGGAGGGATTACAGCCCCATCCGCTGGCCAGGAGAAAAGGCTCTGCTGAGAGAAGGGGATTAATTTTATTTTTATTCCTGTGAGGGAGGGGGAGGTGCAGACGCCTTCACAGGTCTCTCCTTTCCTGTGCTCCCTCCCTCACTTTTTGTTAAAATCCTTACCCATCTCCCCAGGCTCCTGCTTTCCGGGAATGCTGGGGCACGATGCCTTTTCTGCAGTCCTTCAGCTTGTGGGTTGGGTGTACTGCTTGCCTTAGGTACTTCTCTATTGAGTCAGCACGGTCGTTTTCTTTATTACCACACAGTATGTTTGAAACTACCTGCAAATGTTTTTGTGAGCTGGACCATTTGTCTTCTGTGTCCGACTGTGTTCAAGACCTGTAATTCTAGCCGGAGATGCAGCCATGTCAGCGCCTGCCTGGCCAGCCCACGGCCCTGAGTTGGGTCCCCAGTACCAACAGAACCAAACCCCTGTGGTTGTAATACCCATCACGTATCAAGCGCAGTGACCAGTAACTGAGCCGGTCCCGCCAGATAGGACCTGGCTCCGCCACCTCCATCCCTGCATGGTACTCTCCCTGCACAGGTGGGGCCAAGCGGCCAGATTGGCGGTGGCAGGCTCTGGGCCAAACTGCTCTTTCCCACCGTTCTTTTTGCCCTGCCTTTTGATCCTCCACCCCCTCCTGCCCTTTGAGGCAGTGCAGGTAGAGATGGCCCCCTGGCGCCCCTGAGTAGCTCGGCCCTCTCGCTCTCCTTATTCCTGTGGCTGGCTTTCCTTGCCCCCTCCTTGAGGGTCGGGGCAGCTTCACCTGCTGGGCATAGAGCATTTACTCAGAGAATCCATCAGTCCAACACTTAAGCCAAAAGTCACTGGTCCATCGCCCAGAGAAGGGTGTGTTCTAAGATCCCTGCCTGTAAGCCCATAGCCCAGGATGCCACCAAGAGTTGCTTCTGGTCGGAGGACGGTGAGGGAGAGGTGGAGCCCTCCAAAAACCTAGCTACTCATTTCTGCCCCGAAATGCCCACTTGGCCCCTCGGGTAGGTTTCCTGCCCTGCCCATGCGGTGGCTGGACGGGGTCCTTCTTCATCCTGCCCACGCATGTCCCTGGGATGCTGGGTCCTTCGTGGCCCTGCAGCCTCCCGCTGCCTCCTTGCCATCTCCCCTGCTGGCTCGGCCTGCTCGCTGGCATCTGGCAGTTTCCATAGCAACGCTCTCTGGCCTCAGCAGCGGAGACTGAACTTCAGCCTCGGTAAAGCGATTAGTAGAGTGTAGGCTGCGTATGTTCAGCGTTTGGTTAAGGCAGCTTGCTATGGCATCAGGATTTTTTTTAATCTCTAAATTTTGGATTACTTTTAGATTTATAGAAAAGTTGACAGAGAGGGTTCTTGTCTAATCCTTATTGAGTGTCGCCCATTATTAACATCTTGTGGAAGCACTACTGTGCACACCGCTACCCACTAAGTGCCAGGCTTCATCTCGAGTTCACTTGCTGGCCTCCGAAGCCCTTTCTGTCCGAGGGCCCACGCAGGCCATGATGCCTTCAGCCATAGTGCTCTGGGCCTCCTCTGGCCTGGGCAGGCCCAGCTGCCCTCGCATCTGCTTGGTGGTTTGGAAGTGCAGCTCCTGGGGTCTGTGCTGCCTGCGACAGCGACAGTTGGGCCGGGTGGGCAGGCTGCTGAGTGCTGTCCTGGCAGTCTGGATACCTGGCTCTTGTCTGCATTCCTTTCTCCCCTGTAAAACCGCTGGGCACCAGATTAGGATGGGATTAAGGAGAGTGGTAAGCAGAGAAAGCGTGTCTGCTGAATGCTAGTGGGTGGCGCTGGTCAAGAGCATGGGCCAGGTATTCTGGAGGGACCAAGGGTGTGCCTTGGGACAGGCTGAGAGGCAGGGTGGGAGGAGGAGTGAGACACTGCCCCCTCCTCCCTGCATCCTGGAGAGCTGAGAGCTTGGGAGTGGAGTGGAGGAGGGAGGCGGCCTGCCAGGGAAGGAATGGAGGAATGGGTGCAGAGCAGGACGGGCCTGAGGAGCAAGCCAGAAAGGATTGTGTGAATGACCTTGCCGGACTCCAGGAATGGGGGCGAGGGCAGGAAATTGGCGTGGGCCTCTGGCGGTGGCCTCGCTGGAGCCTTCCTCTGGGCAAATCCTCTCAGGCTCAGAGTCCCTAGGAGTCACCTCTGCTGACCCAGGTTCCACCTGCTCCAGGCTTTCCTGGTCTGAGCGAGCCCAGGCAGCCTCTC